TGCCAGGGAACTTATTGGCTTGGATGGATAACTCAGTAAAACATCAGGGTGCTAAAGGGAGAAAGACATGAAAATATGGGAAAAATTTGGGATAGCAACAGTGTGAGAGAGAAAAAGAAAAGATGCAACAAGAAAATAATTTAAAATAAGAGCAGCAACATTAATTTACTAAGGTGACAGAATCTTAATTTGTGGTGTATCATGCATTACCAACCAGCTTTTGAAACATGGGAAACGTTGAGAGTCACGCTTGTGCGAGTTCCAAATTTGATCTTGATTTCTCAGTTCAACAGTTTTGTCCAGTCCTCAAATACTAACAGTCATGTGTTTGGGATTACAGATGACATTGTACAGGTTGAGCAGGACTTTAATTTCTAGTGCTTCACTTATATCAATTACAAGACAGCTAAATGGTTTAGAAAACTAATTCAGTAACTGACACTATCTGAATGTTGAACACAATTGCTGGGGTTTTACTTTTATTTTTACATGACATCATGATTTCCCTGGTAGCCTTTCTCTTTCTAGGTTGCTATGCTGAATACATCATTTATTGTCCCTTCTTTGAAAAAACAAATCACTGGCTGAGGACGAAAAATAGTATTTCTATCTCCTCTACCAATATTATCAGTATATTTTCAGTTGTGGCAGGAAATCCATGTTCACAAAAATAAAAAGCACCAGAGCCTGTATTAGACTAGACGAGCTAAATCTTGGGTAACAGAATTTGGGTCACCACTTCATGCAGTCATTTTTTCCTCACTTTTGAAAGATAATATCCTCCTGAACTTGAAGGAAGAATACCACAGCAGGAAAAAAACCAAAACAAAACAAAACATCCTCTGAGCGAGCCTGTTGAATCTAGAGGTATTTTCCTGGCAGGGAATCACTGCTAACATTCTCTCATGAAAAGTTCCTAGAACTGCACCAAAGGGAAGTTTGTTAACATATGGTTTTGGACTCTTTCTTTCCTCTAACCTTGATCCCTTTCAAATAAGGAAAATATCTATAGGGAGAAAAACTATGCTCTGGAAATGAAGACAGACAAAAATCTGCTCATCTTTGCTGCAACAAATTCTATTATTAGTTGGTCTCTCCTGGATTAGAAAAACAAAATGAAACAAAGCATATTGGATGGGAAAGACAAGACAGATAAAGCTAGGAAAAGAGTATCCTGAAGAGAAACAACTAGAAAAAGCCTTTTTCACTATAAAACAATTACATTAAAATAGAAAATTGAAAAAAGAGTTTCCTAAGGACAAGAAAAACAGCCACATAGCATAAAACCACTTCACAGAAAAATAGGGAGAAAACCCCTTGTGTGTGATTTCCCTCTAATGATTCCATCTCAGCAAAAAAGAATGCTATTTAAGGCAGAACACCAGGCTATATGCAAATTCAACAGGGATTTATGGCTTGCTTTCAGCATTCATAATTTCCCATAGTATCTCCTGCTGGCAGCAGGCTGACAATTGAGCACAGAAGCAATGACAGTAGGATAATTAGAACATTAAGCACACAGATTTGCATAACCATAGTATAATTATTTTAAAAACCCAACCTCAAATATGAAAACCACTGCAGTTTTATTTGTTGAGAGAGGGATCAATTTAATATAGTCATTAGTAAGAAGAGGAGTAGTAACAATGAAAAGTGGACACCTCGAGTCAGACACTGGAGACTGCTTACACAGAAAGAAAAATAATACCACCAACTTTTCAGCACCCCTGCACTCAACTTGGTTAATAATATTTCACTTTAGTGTAAAGTTAAATACCTTTTACATAAAAAGTGGAAGCTTGCACTGTTCATGGTTTCTCAAAGGCTCACTGTTTAGAGATTAGCAAGAATTTTTTCCAAGGACTGACCAAATCTTTTTTATCGAATGGCTTAACAGTAGTCCAATTCAATCTTTTCTGTCAGCTTCGTAACTTCTAAGGCTAATAGATTTAACTGAAAGTACTCAAACTGTTCAGTGGAAATAAGAGGCAAGGGAAACAAGATTGATGCTATGACACATCTCTGTTCAAACTGTAAGGGAAACAACCTCAAAGAAAAAGCTTTTTGCCATTTGCTGTTAAAAGCTACACAAGAGAGTCCTTCCAGCATGTATCTGATGCAAAACAACACTAAGATAATGTAATAAAACTCAACATAATAAACCTCTAATTCAGTTTTAAACTGAATGCTCTTACATAGCTATTAGTTTTAAGGTCAATTTTGACAGTTATTTGCAATGGTTAACAATGCAGGTGTGTAAAACTGAGATTTTAGAAACTTTAAATTGGAGCTGGATTATCTATCGTAATTGGTTCAAGGATGACAAGGAACTAATCCACCCTGAATATGTCAAACTGCCTGAATAAATATCTGCAATGATTTCAAGAGAGAAAGCCTTTTAAAAATACATTTTTCTACTTTTCTGCAAGCAACAAAAAGCACTGGCAAATTAAAAACAGATAGAAAAAAGGTTATTAAAGAAAGACCTAAACTTACTCATAAGTATAAAACTTATTCAAGTGGTTGCTAACTATGTTTTCTTGAGTAGCTAGGAGTAACTCTGACTTGGTTCTAGAAAACAACAAGGATCAGTGGTAGAAGTGGTCTCTTTCATACTGCTTAAGGAAAGCAAATGCATGGTTTATTACATGAAAGCATACCTGGGTCCTAGAGCTTCGATTCCTCTATAAAAAGCCACTGTGGACTTACTTCTTATTCACCAAAAAACCCCAAAATCTTTCCACTGAATTTGAATTTTCCCTTGAATGAGAAGAATGCTGTGGCCCAACATGACACAGCATTTAAAAAAGGAACTAGGTATTGATGATTTTGTCTCAGTAAGACATGGGAGACTACTTCAAGGTCTCTGCACAGGAAACAATTGTCCAAGTGCCCTGATAAGCAACAATGACTGGGGCAGAGGAGCAGATATGGGCGGGCTTTATATTGCACATAGGAATGGTAGGCTATCAATTTTCTTTGCTTGTAGAACTGAAATCATCCTGACTGAATGATTTAAGTAGCTTCTTTGGATGTGAAGATGTGATTCTATTTGTGTTTACAACACAATGAATTAATATTAATTATTTTTCTCAGAATCATATTAAGAATATAAGATATTTGTCCCATAGCTGTCCTGTACATTTAATAGTACTCTTTACATTTGAGCTATTTTCCCATTTTTACCCTTATAGAAAGGATCACAGGAGAATAACTCATCCTCTTAATTATATCCTGAAAAAAAAGAGATTAATTATAAAAATATATGGTTTTATGAACTGGCCCAGTGTCCTTATGTAGTGCTCCTGGATACTAGTTACTAAGCACAATCCCCGTAAAAATGGAATGCGCAGAGGTAGGTCTGAAGGAATTATAACGAAGAGCTGTCATGGGGTAGTGCAAATAACTGCATGTTCGTCTTTTAGCTAGCAGTGCTTCACCAGATTCTGGCTGACCTCCACAACTGCTTATACTACTGATATACTCACAGCTTATTGTGAGGAAAGAGATCTCAGGGGAAGCAGTGAAAAGCAGTACATTAACAATTGCTAAATATACAGACACATTCCCTAATTAAGTGAATTTCCCCAACTGTTTTTTCATGACCTAACTATTTGTTACGCGCTCTCCCAGTTAGTACTTTTTTTGTTTTGTTTTTCTTAAAGCAGTTGTAACGATGTTCTCCACTGCAGCTATCTACCTACAAACTAGTAGTATCATCCAATTGCTGTAACAATCTCTGGCAAATCTTGGCTCCAGTATATTCCTCAACTCAGTAACAGACTGACAAAGGGTGAAACTGCAATCCATGACATAATTCAAATGAAAGGGTCCTTCAGGACTTCTGAAATACTCACTGCATGGTACACTGAGAACAGCCTCTGAGAGCAATTAAATGTGCACAACTATCTTTTCTTGTTACTGTGCTTTGCTGATGCTGAATAACTGAACTGTTTATTCTGTGTCATAGAATTAAAAAGAAGGGCAAACATGGGTCTAGAGACTCAAATATGGAGTTTCACTTACACAGAGTTCTCAGGGGCATTAACACCCACCTTGCACCCACACAACAGAAATCTTAAACAGGTCTGAATTGATAATTCAAAATTTGATCTCACATTCATTTGAGGAGCTAGGACAGAGTTCCAAACTACAGCATGAGCACTCCTCCCTTTCCTCGGTAGATGTGAAGAAACAGCTAGAACTCCATTTCTTTAAAAAATTGTGTTGCCTTTTATCTTGTTCTAATTTTATAAATAGAAGTGTTATCACTATTTTGGTTGGTGTGTTTTGTGCTGCTTCATCATCTGCTCTTTTAAAATCAAGAAGTTAAAATCAAATCAATGTTCCTCTAAACAGTGCGGCATTTATGCTACTCACAGGTAAAATAAAGAAGGCTTGCAATGCAAACATAATCCAAAGATTCTGTTCAAATTAATTAGCTTGCTTGTAATAGGGTAGTAGTCCTCTGAACAGAAAACTCCTACCAAGGTATCAGCTGTGAATGGTAATGAGATTAAAACAAAAGATCACACACTTCACTGGTGATATATTCTTTTCATTTGTTTTTATGCATTCCTATGGGCTGGGCCAATCACACATCTGCATTTATCACATTAACACCTACAGGCATTGAAAATTGATATGTCAAATGTTTAGCTGTTAATTTTTTAGCTGTTATACCAGTTTAATGGCACAATTACTGCTATGAACTTTACTGAAGCAGACTAAGTCTTTAATTCCTAGTACCTGTTAAAAAAGAAAAGTCAACAGCACTGTTATTGCACGTAAACGAAATCCAAAATTAGCACCAGTGTCTGAAAGTTACTTTCTGATGGGCTTAGTTTGCAATATGGTTTGCATGGACACAACTTCATAGTTCTTGCTGAAAAACAATTCACAGAATTCAAACTTAAGACTCAAAGTTTTCTGTGTAGACATGGCCAATTTGTCTAATACTGAATGTTTACACCACATATATAAATATGAAGTAAGATTACCTTCTTCAATTGACTTTCCATTTTCAAACATTCTTCCTTTTTCTGTTCCAATGCAATCTCCAGTGTCTTGAGTCTTGAATCTTTCTTCAGTCCTGATGAAGCTAAGGATGAAGCATGTTCCTTCAGATCCAGTAAGGATGACTAAAATAAAAGATGTAAAATAAATATCAAGTAAATACTCTATATGCAATAGCTAGTTTCTTTTTACTCTTTATTTCCTTCCTATCCCTTCACACTATGTTCAGGATCCAACTTAGAATAATGTATTCTGAGAGGATGTTCATGTCATGGACTTAAGACAGCTTGATTTAATTCAGGTTTGCAGGATCAAAATAAAATCTTGCCTAAATTAACTTTAAAATCATTATTAAAGATGGAAGATTCAGTAAGCTGAAATTTGTGCTTCAGTAACAGTCATGTTTAAGAAAAATTGTTTTTAAATAAAATAATATTTTAAAATCATACGTGGTTAGCAAATTTGGCCACTGTATCTAAAACTGAGAGCATTCAAAGCTTTTCTGTATATAGCTGCTATGGGGTGAAATCGATTCGTGCGATGTAGCTCCAAAAAGACATCTCAACTTCTTGTTTTCCAAATAATTTTTGTGTTGCTTTTTTCCTGTCAAATGTTGACTTCTGTGTAAACAAATTCTTAGCACTTCCTGGGTGCATATTTTTTTATAGTTTTACTTTGATTGAGTTTTGAAAAAAAGATTGTAAGTAGACTCGAATGTTACAATTCCAAGAGAGGAAGAGAGAACGTCTATAGTTCTCTAATATAATTAGGTCAGTTTGTCTAGCCAGCTGGCTTGTTACCAACACCCAACTTAATTATCAAAAAAGGACTCCTCAGAGTCAGAAGAACTAGCTGTATTGTCTCCATAAAGGAATAATCATTATCTGTATGCTTTTGGCACCCACAGCTTTGATCACCCTCTGCCCTTTCTTCCTTATATTTAGACAGGAACAAGCTTGTTCTCTGCCTTCAGTTGTCTATAATCATAGCTCCAATAAATGCTGTCATTGACCAGTGGTCATTCACTACTAATACGATTAACTGCTGCAAGTAAGGGGACGGCGTGCTAGCCATGAATAGGTGGTTCTGGAATATTTATGCTTTGAAAAATTCTCAAACAATGTATTTTACTAGATAAACTTGTTGAAGGACCGTTACCATAAAGGAACAGTTTTCTTCATCTCAAATAGGACACATACATATACAACAAACAATTCTAACACAATAGATTCATTCTGTTGGTCAACCTCTTTCTCTGTGAGATCTCCTTGTAAAATGCTGACTTTCTCTTTCAGGTCCTTAATGTCTTTTTTGTAGTTGTCGATCTCTTCCTGTTTTTCTCGTTCATCTCTGTCACGTTGCTCCTTTAGGCGCTCAATGGTCCTTTCCTGAGAAAAGAAAGCACTCTGTAAAGAAAATTCCTCTTAGTTCAACTTCTGAGACTTACCACAACACTTTTTACACACTGTAGACGAGGAGGAGGAGTGTAGGTCATTGCCTCTTTCTTTTCTTTACTGTTGTAAAATAGATCCTCAAGAAGGAGGAAACTTGAGAAATCTATGGATTCCCTGCTAAGAAATACCAGGCTTTCTGTATCTCTGAAAGTTCACAGTACTGTTACAGCGTAACACAATTTATCTGGTTCTGATAATCAGAATTAACCTAGACCAGGACACATTACATATTGCTTCCTTATTTAAATCTTATTTTTCCAAAATGTACAGTTAAGTCTGTGGTCCTTCAGAGAGGAAGGGGTATAGTGCATATGTGACATCAGGATCGATACATAGTAAGAAAAGGCAACAAAATGACTTTTCAGTACACCAGATAGCAATGGAGCTATGGTTTTCTTGGAAGTCAAAGGGATGCAAATGAATTCCCAAACCTCAGGCAAAGCTTTACCATAGCTTCACATTTATAGAATCTGACAGACAAAAGGAGCTGTAACAATGGTTCTCTGAGAATCAAGTAAAAATTCAAACACAGTAATTCCAAAAAGTTGCCCCACCAAAACAGAATAGGCAAGGCTGTTCCCTCAGTCAGCTATCTCTCGAGAACTGGGCAAGCATAAAAAAATGTTAGTTATCAGGATAACTATTCATTTTGAGTCAATATTGGGAACTAAAACTCCATCTCATACAGCAAAACTTTTAAAATAAATTTGTTATTAAAACATCTGAGCCAAGAAGGTAAAATAAGCTAAGCGATTAGCCAGATTCCATGTATCCTGCAGCACCCTCTAGTGAGGGACGCAGCTCGGCAGCTGCCGTGCTCCCCGATCCCCCCTCCACCCTCAGAGACAAAGGATGTCCCTGCGGCACTGCATTGGCGATGTCCGGGACACACACGGAAAAGCCGACTTTAAAGAGGTTATTAGTAAAAGGACCTTTCAAAGAAAGGGACTTAGGCTTTCCATACTCACTTTTTCTGCCAGTGCTTCTTCCAGCGTGGTCAAGGCAGTGTCAGTATTTGTGGTGTCAGCCTGCAAGGATTTTACTCGATCCTTTAAGCTGCTCATCTGCTTCTCCTTGTCTCTTAACTGTTCTTGAAGATTTTCAATCTTAAAAAATAGGAGTAAGTTTTAAGACAGTATCAAGCAAAACCATCCAAAATCATCTTAGGAATATATTAAACTCTTAAAAATATTCTTAAAGCAAAGGAAGTAGGCCAGGGCCTAGTTCCTGTAATCCTACATCAAAATAGCAAGTAAAGCAACAAAACCCATCAAGTACTAACAAGTAAGTAGTAATCTCTCCAATAATCAGGAAAGAATTCAGAGCAAGAAAGACTAAATATTTACAAGAACAACATAAAGAAAGGGTATTATTCCTAAGTTCTGAGGACTGTGTGACTGAAGGATGATCAATGTATTAACAATATGCAAGGAAAAATGCTGCTAAAAACATTACTGCATCTGTAAACCAAAAAAAGCACTTGATAATTAAGAGGTTGTGAAGAATTATTTTTAAATATTTCCTTTGGTAGTCATATTCTTTACTGTACTGGCATGTTGCTTTTTCATCTTACATGGTGGTTTGCTATATGATAGACTAACACAAAGCACCATTCCCTGGGTAGAAAATACATATAGCTTTGTTTTCTCCAGGTGTAGAATTGGATCAATTTATGAATTCTGAATATATCTTTTGACAGACTAAGATCTAATGCTAAACCTATTCAATGCTACGTACACACCACAAGAGAGAGACACATTAATTTTATGATAACGTGTTGAAAACAAATTTCTCAGCAAAGGATTAAAACTGGGTACAGGTTTCTCACTTGCTTCCTTTTTCCTGTTGCTGCTAAGTTTTTCTTGCATCAACAAACATACATTATGAACTGGTGAATGACATGTGGCATGTAAGGTACCTATCTCGAAAACACTCGTACCAGGATATTCTTTCAAAGACATTTGTAAGAAATAATGTAACCAGACAATCCCAAAGGCTATCTCATCCAGTATTTAGTAAACTAAATGAAAGCATTAACCAGCTTTTTTTGCTCCACCTGTTGAACTGCAGCAGGTGGCTCCTTGGTTAGTGGAAATAGAGCACCTATCCCCAGGTTTTACTCTTCAACCCTGGAAAAACTGAGCTGCTGTGATTACAGAGCAAATAGCTATTTAGACACATCCACTACTACTTTGCTATCTTTATTAAAATTACATCTGGAATATAGTTTTAGAAAATGGTCTAGATCTGCGATGGTAAATGTAAAAGATTTTGGAGGAAGCTGAACATTTAGTCGCGAATAATGGTAGATGTGTTACAAGTGGAAGCTAGGAGGAAGAACAACCTAATTCAGGGAAACCCTTGCTAATGTTCCTCTGTAACTCATGGTCATGGAAGTATTCTGTTAGAAGATTCTTCATACCAGTTTTAAAAATTTCTCTTATGCAAGCATGTGCAAACTTACAATCCAGCTTTCTACACTACATTTACTGAGAACAGAAGAACTATGTAAGTTTTTTGTTGTTGTTTAAGGAAGGGACTGAAAGTGGATTTGGTTTATCTTCGTCATTAGTTTCTATTAGAAAAAAAGTATTAGGCCTCCAAGTTATGCTGAAAATTTAAATTTGGGCACAACACAAATGACACTACAAAACCAATTTTAAAGATCACCAAAAAAACAACTGGTGACATATCATGTGAATCAGAAATAACCGTAAGAATTGAAAATTCCTTCTTTATGCACTCACAGCTGTTATTTAATGCCTTATTAGCAAACGCTTGTAACCCATGAAGCTTCAGACAGAACCCTACTAGTTCTGGCTGAAAAGTTCTGGTGCCCACACGTACAGCTACCGAGGAGGTAACAGCCCCAAGGGTAGCCTACGTGGCTGCTTTTGACCTTACGAGCTTTCAGTGTCGTCAGCTGTCTAGACAGGCTGGCTGTTTAGACAGCCAACCATGAAAATATACTACAAAGAAGGCTGAGCTATTCTTAGACTTGTGTTTACTTCTGGAGGCGAAATGCTCTCGCAAAGGCTCCAACTGGCTGCAGAGGGGATAGTGCAGAGTGACTTTCTGCTGCGAGCAAACCACACACAAGAGACAGCAAAATAATTCAGCTTTAGCCTGTATTAAGATGATTGCCAAGGCAACACAAGCATTTGCACAAGTGCAGCATGCATTTTCATGTTTCAGTAACACTGTTTGCTCTGACCAGAGCAAGATGACAGCTGTACATGAGTATATATATGACTGCTTGCTGCATCATTCCATTGCAACTGCACCCTCCTGTGTACAAACAAACAAACAAACAAACAAACAAAAAAGTAATGTGTAGAAAGTGTGAATCTGTCTATTCTTTCAGTCTACATGCAAACTTTTCAGTCTGGAGTAATGAATGGTGGGTTTTGTTATCATCCAGGAAACAGCAGGTACACTGAAATGTTCAAGTCATATTAATGTCTAGGCACTACCTGAAAAACCCACTCTACCTACAAACATGCTTCGTGCAGGGTCGGAAAACTGATAGTCCCCAAACAAGGACACGATGCTTAAACTGTAGAAAACTATGTGTCAAAACTGAAACATTTGTATAATAACAGAGGCAAAATTTCCTTACAAAATCACAATCAACAATATAATAATTGCCTTTATTCCATTTTCCCACAAACCTGAACTGCTGTAAATAATAACTAAACTAGAGGTTCTCCAAAATTATATCATCTGAAGAAAGCAAAGTCTACACTTCACCTATACAGTTAATTAACAAAGAATTTCACTCTTATGTCCTTGCAAGTAGTTTGAGAATCCTTTCAAAAAAGAATACGTAAGTCATATGTTTTACCATCATTTCTTCCTACCCAAATAAAATAAAAAAGTAATTCTGAACAAGTTCTCAAATAACTGATAAAATAGATAACCAAAATAAGGTCTTTCTTTTCTCGCCAACAAAAAGATGAAATAAAATGCAATGGAATCTCCAAGACTTCTGGGAAGCATAAAAGGACAAGGATTGAACCAGCACTTTTTAGTCTTGAAATATTCAGAAGATGACAAATCTCCTCTGAAATGTTCTACAAACCTAAGGAATAAATATATTACTGAACTATCTTTCTAAAAAGGAAAAATAAAAAATATGTACTATCATTAGATCATTACAAATCTTTATTCTTGCTATATATACTTATTTTGCAGGGTAAAGACAGCAATCTATGGATGTTAGCAACACTAAGCTTACTATAAAGGTACTCATACATACACTAGAATCATCTGCTCTGCATACTAATTTCCTCATCAATAGTGATTTACTGAAATATTTCTTTCCAACATTACCAGTTGTCAGGCACTATCATGTTTCAACTTGGGTGATTTATTCCTAGTTGTGTGGAACTAATTATTTTGCCTTCCAGCCCTGAGCAACAGGAGCAGAGGCAAAAGAAGTTTCCTCTGTCATTCTGTTCCAAAGGCAAGGAAGCATTCTACTTTTTTCAAATATCAATCTCACTGAAAACCCCAAACACATGCATATTAAAAACAGCCCAAGGATTTAAACAAGACGCATCTAGTTTAGTACCCATCAAAGCCACTAGATTCCTAAATATCTCTCGTTGGAGGTTACTAGTAGATCCTTTGTATCATGCTTCGACCAAGAAATCCTTCTATAGAACCATTGTCAACCCTAGGGTATGAACACTTAGAGAGCAATTTCTATTGTACCAGTGACTTCAGAATCAGAATAAATGAAGTGGATTTGTGAACTGATCATTCGATCTCTTTTTTTCACCCTACCCGGTTATTGGAAAAGGACCTTTTTCCTCCTTCAAAATATTTAATCAAAGATCGACACTTTAAAAATATAACTTTTTTCATCATGTGTGCTGTAACAAAATTAACTCTGTTTACGTTTCATTTCCCACTTTCAATTTTCTTGCTACTCTGACTTGTAAAAGGAATAAAGTGGTGAAATAAAAAAAAAATCAAAGTGGTAAAAGCCCTTTAATTTAGTTAATTCTGAGACAATATGAGAGAAGTGAAATAATCTTCTTAGAAATATGAAGATCCAATAATGTTTGGAAGTATTTTAAAAATGCAAAATGTCTATTTTAAATTCAAAATCTTTTTCAACTTAAGAAAGTTCACTGCCTATTCCACTGTTTGCATGTATCTCCAACATGTAGTAACTAGCTATATTACTTACCTGCAGACAGATCTTTCACTGTACTTTTTTCTATAAACAGGTGAAAATGCCTTTGCTTATACTCTGCACTTGACTTCCCCAGTGCAGCTCTGCAAAGACATTGTTTTGATCGGTAACATGACATCTTCATCACAACATACACTGAATATACAAGACAATCAATTTCACACTCAATAATATTCCTTGATTGTATTACAAGAGTAGATGTACAAAAGAATATATCTGAGGGCACTGTTGAGTCTCCCACTTTTCAATCCTAGCTTTCATCCAGTGGAAGCAGTACTGGAAAAAGGAACTAAATTATCAGGAGGGTCGAGAGGTTTTCTGTTCCATTCCTATGGCATAGCTATTCAAACAAACAAAACCTTCACATAAGCTGTGAGCTTTCCAAGGGAGTTCTTCCTTGGTATTGTAAAGGCACTGTTGCTCACGTCAGCTCCAGGGTCAAAGACTACAAGGAGATAATGGATTCTCATTGATCACAGGCAGAGGTGACTCTATCCGTGTCAGGAATAGTAACATGAGGACAAAAAAAGCTATTCTGGAAGAGAGAGCGGATGAGTAAGCAGTTATGTGATGACAGAACAGCTACAATTCTGTCTAGCTGGAGACATGCCACTGCCTTCAATGTAAGAATACTAGTATCATGATAAAAACTTGATAGCCTGCAGTCACACTTGATTTTGCTAGAATCCCACAGTATTCGAGAAGCTGAGAAAGGTGGGCTTGCATCAAAATCAGGACGAGAACATAATGGTTACAACAGACACAATCACACTGTTGTACCCGACAGCATTTAAAAGGTTGTTTCAGAAAAAGGGGTATGATGTTTACTCTAGAGAATTAAGATGGAACTGAATTCAAGAAATTTTGTTCCTAAAATGCATTAATGAGAGGTCACCTTGAGTC